GGTGGTCACCCACCCAACTACTAACCTCCCGGCGTGTGGCTTAAGTACGGCTGAGCGGACGGGAAGCCCTGTTCTCCACACCCTGTGGTCGTATGTGCTTGTTCTTCGCAATATAAAGGTCTATATAGCGCTAGATTTTTCTGATGCCGGTGATACTCTGAAGCGAGTTATAGAGATAGGTGCGGAGTACATACTATATAAAACAAATGTCCAGCGCAGACAAGTTCTGCTTCAGCATAATTCACCTGCACAGAAAGATTAACAGTATTGACCCCACACAGTCGAAACAAAACTGATATTGACAAGCAAGAAACATATGGAATAATTACAGACAGACTTCAATGGGCGCTCCTGTACCTGGAATCAGATATTAACTTTCCATATTAATTCTCCAGAATATACTATAGTAGGCTAGCCTATCAGTTGAATAAGCATTCTTCACTGAGTTTGATATAGAGTAAAACCAAAGCCAAAGCTATTACCAGCCAACTTTACAAGTTATTGAATAAGGGAGTCACTCTGAAACTATTGCATGACTGTGAATCGAGATAAATTGGCAATTCTCGTGGCACGAAGAGAAATTCACGAAAACAAAGCCCTGGGTATTCCATCACTCAGAATAACCCAAATTCCTGCTGAAGACATTGAAAGAGCTTTTAAAGTAAAGTGCAGCACAAACCCTGGGCAAATCTGTCCTGAGGAGCGATGCCCAGTCCCCGACTATCTCAGTGAGTAGTGAACCGGATACGCTTAGATTGTAGCTAATATGAACAGAATCTATTCTCGCAGCTTATGATTTAGCGTTGGGAGGATCGCCTCATAATGAAGCGTTTATACGACCTCGAGTCGATGCAGTACTACTGACAACCTTCGCTCGCAAGAAGCATGAGGAATTAGGCCAGCACTACCAAGAAATGGTAAAGGAAAGCGTACCTCAACAACCTCTGTTGAGCCCTTCAAGCCTCTCCGCTGGCAGTTCGAGCCACATATGAAGCTACGATGGCCGTACAGGGGCGTAACCTGCATGATCAGGGGCAGGATAAACCCTGTGGTGCGGCGATCCCATGAGACCCCAGTCAAGTTTACTTGTTGTAGAGACAAAATGGCGTGGTATGGACGGGGAATACCAATGCATATCCTATATGGGTAAGGTTGTCAAGGTCGATCATGGCTGGATAATATACTTACGTTCTACTGCAGGGATGTTACATCATATCAGAAAGCAGACTGGGAAGCAGACTGGGAAGCAGACTGGGAAGCAGAACACGGTCATCTATGGAATTTCAACTGATAGTTTCAAGTGGACGTTCATAAAACTCGACAGTGAAGCACAGGTAAGTGGGCTATTTCAGGCTTGTTCAACGAGGGCATCTCTAACTCGATTAGATATCCAATACACCCTGAGCTGGCTCGATGGATACGGATCCAAAATCATTTCCCATCTCCACAAGATGATGGACCATGCAGCCCTCCTTTCCCCAGCTGCTAGTCAAGCTCCAAGCAGACAACCCACCAGATAGGGGCACACCTGGTTTATTACCGTGTCGAGATGTCAAATCTCAGACCAGGGGCCCGAAGTACTGTTATCGAAGACTTAATCCAGCCCTCCCCTCGGAAAACTACAAACGACATTCAACTACTGGTGGAGGATAGCGCAAGGCAAAGATGGAGGAATTTAGTTGGGTTGGTATGGTACGGAAGAATGTCTATTGCGGGTCTGATTTACCTTTCGTTTCATCGATGGCTATTCAATTGGAGTTGGGATCAGATGAACCCAATCACATCTAACTATGGAACGATGAGTATTGCACTAGGTAAAGCCATGAACGTACCCCTTTCAGTACGCCAGAAGGCATACGGTATTCTGCTAAAAGCAAGCCTTTATATAGTTGGAGATGACAGCTAACAATTCCCTTAGACAATGGCCAAAGTGATTCACAGCAAGGAAATTTGACACTTCATACTTTTGACTTCTCGCCTTCCTCGATTTCCTAAGCCAGAGTGTTCGCAACTAACTACTATAATTAGTGGAGTTCTGCATGGGACATCATAACAGATAGCAACCAATCATTGAATATCTCTATAGTTGATACCTGACCTTAGATAGAACATCTCGAATAGTAATCTAGGGCTTATAAGCCATTATTTACTCCACAGTGCCACGGGGAGGTAAAACCTGGATTGAATGTGTATACACTTAATATAGGCGCGCGCTTGTATAAGCCGCGAATACCTCAGAGCTTCCATGCTGGTCGTGTGAAAATAGGCAGTCACAAATCCTTTTAATGCCAACGAAGAAGCTTAGGGGTGACAAACCCATCCACCCCTATATCCCAACTGTGGTGCGTCCGCGATTGTCTTTGCTGACTTTTTGAAATTGCTGGATAAGTCCGAAGACCCCTGCGTTCCCAGCAAGCTCTTCGACGTTCTCTTCGTCCTCGCCTGAGTCCTTGTCATTTTCATCCCCCATCAGATTCATCCGCCAGGACTCTCCCAGGTTGCTATCACTGGTGCCGATAGCTCCACCGCTGGATCCCGTCTGGGGAGACTTCTTAACAGCAGCACGACGGATCTCCGCGGAGGTTGATTCATTGTCGTCCTCAATTGGGTCAGTCATGGGTCGCACTGGACGCGATGACCTAAACCGTGGATAATGGACAGATCGATTTGCCGTCCGGAACTCTGACCCCATCGGCTGGTGATGCGGGTCAAGGAGGATAGATGGTGCGGGCGACGCATGATCGGCAAAGCCTGCAGCTCCAAAGCCAGGGCCCAAGCCCGACTGTTGCCCCATAAAAGCAGCTGCTGGACCATGACGTGTTTGGGTTCGCTCCAGCCGCTCGCCGATATTACCCATTTCAACAGCAGATGGTGACCCCAGCGTGGGAAAGGCAGGTGGAGGGTGGAACTGGCGGCGACTGGATGGGTTCGCAGGGCGATTACCACCATAGTTATCTAAAAACCCATAGTAAGATGCGAGCATTTTGCCATCCTTGGTCGAGAAGTAGTCCGCCCGTAGGTCCTGCCTCCCGCTCTCTCGTCGTCTCGTATCTCCTTGACTGATGACGTTGGTGCCTTTCTTGAAATCAAATACGGCAAATGAGCAGAGATATCCCATGCCATCCACATGCACGGTGAACTCCCGGAAGAAGTCGATAAGACGATCACTACATTTAGGCAGGCTGAACCAGAGAATAAACGGGGTGAAGATCATGCTCAGGATCTCTTCCAAGAAGATAACGATCTTCATCTGGTAAAGCATAGCAAACTCCTTCCGAACTTCGTCACTATGCAACCGCCCTTTCCAATTATTCGGGCAATAGTGGGTGAAGTCAATCACTTCAAGAAGTGCGAATTCGGGATCGAACACATTTGTTTCTTCCGGAACTAACCCTCGTGCAAAAGCCCATACAGAGCCAAAAACACCCAGGTAGAAAAGGACAGTCCGGTCATGTGTGATTTCAAAGCCCAGGAAAAGTTCTGGGTCTATGACGGATACCAGGGCCAATACGGACGCCAGGGCGCCGGAGACGAACGCCACAAAGCCAGCAATCTGGACAGTCTTATCCTTGGGAAATTGGTCCACATAACGACCAGCAAAAGGATACGACATGTTGACACGACGCTCAAACAGATGCCAGAGTTCGTTGAACTCGCGAAACTTCCATTCGGCTAAAGGGGTATACTGCCGGGATCCAATCTGGGCTGGGTTCTTCTTGTACTCGTTAAAGTAGCGGAAAAAATAATGCATCAAGAAGTAAACGACAATAAAGGGGGCTACGAAGATATTCATGATACCCGCGAAGATGAATCGCCGCCGCAGGCCCTCACTCAAGGCTTTCCGGTGTGTGTCCTTCAGGAACAAGGTTCGCACTTGGCCCTGGTCATTAAAAACATAGTCCATAATGCAGAGATTGATGTTCCATTCTAGCGTCTGCGAAAATAGTTGCCTGTTTCGGAGGAACGGTATTGGGAGAGTCAAATCTAGTATGTCTTTGTTCACCAGAGCAATCAAGTAATTCTCTTTACGCATCAATCGGTTTGCGATATCGTGAGCATCCATCCTCTGCTTGGACTGGCTCCCCATGAACTTGCGATGCCTGGCAGAAACTGCCCCAGCAGTGGCGGGGTTCGCATCTCTAAGAGTCATCAGCCGGCTCACAACCTCCTGCCAGGAGATCGTTTGGATCTCACTGTCAGAGATTCCGAGCAAATAGTGGTAAAAGTCATGCATGTGCTTCAGCCTTCTGATATCCATCAAGTACTGAAAAGCCTTTCCAATCCAGAAAACAGTCAACAGCCAGAGCAAGAAGGTAGAGGACATAGACATCTTCTTAGTGCACTGTTGAATGAGTATGTCATCCATTTTTCTACTTCCTCGAAAGTTGCGATAATCGATGCAGTTGGTGAGAAAAGTACTAAATCCCACCACGAAAGCAAATGTCCTGCAATTTGTTTAGGTCATCGGTCAGCGGAGGTAACCATATAAGAGCAAAGGGTGAACTCAGGTAAGGGCGTACAAGAGGCTTAAACCTCGATTCAGCAGTATTGACCATATCCCATTCCCTAAGAAGTACGTATAAACATCCTTCAGAAAATTGTCCAGATTTTCCACGTTTGCCCACAGCCACATGGCTTTCTCTTTGGGATCTACTGTGGCCAGGTTGGGATGCCCCAGCGACCAGATTGCCCCGGGACGTTGCCCCCTGCGATCATTGTGGAGCGGCAGCTGTTCCCTTGTTGTGTTCCAACGAGCCCGATCTGCACGCGATGAAGGACCAGGAGCAGGAGACTGTTCTCGCTGCGGGTGGCGATGAGAAGGAGGAGGGGGGGGAAGTCGGGACTTCATCTCGTCGTCATCCTGGTGTCCTTCTACTAGGAGGGAGGGAGGCACATCATCATCACCGTCGTCGGGGTCCTGGTGCATCCACCGAGGACGACTGTGTTTCCGCCGCCGGGAACCAGATTTAGCTGTTGCTGTACCAGAGGTTCTTTGCGGGCTCCCTTGAGTCAGGAACGGCTCGCTCGGGCTCGGGCTCTGTATGCCGTCTCTCGCAGCGTGTACCATGGCCTCTTCCAACTCACGGTCACTAAATTGAGTCCTCCGATCATCTTCGAATTCTAATCCTGCACGTTCCTCAACATCCGAAGGATTCGATTCCGCGTCCTGTTGCCGAAGCGTTTCGTACACCGATGGCGAGCCGTTCGGAGGAAGGAAACGGGATAGTATGTTTGATGTCATCATCATGGGCTAAAAGATCTTGCAATGTTAATCGAATCACATCAGTGTGGGTTGCCTAAGCAGCAGTGCATCATATCCACCCTTAAACCAGAATACAAGAGACAGCTAAGGACCATTCATGGAGGTAGATAGTGAGCGGCGGCCAGCTTAAGGTACGAATGGGAGCTAGGCGCAACCAAAGAATTCCGTTGTACTAGTAGAGCAAAATAAGATATATTCAGCAGAGAACTAATGAAGCCTTATGTGCTAGACTGAAGAGTGATATAAAGCCGAGTGAACAGGAAGGGCAGCGTTGACTGTTAGGGTAGGGGAGGTGGTTGACAAGCAGCGGCATACGGTCAGTCCTCGTGATAAGCTATGATGCAGGCGGTCACGCCGATATCAGATCGCAGCCTGAGGCCTAACTGAGTCATGTGATGCTTTATGTAAGTAGTCATGTGACTTTAACAGGATCAATGGATGATCCGGCGGGCGGCCCCCAACGACGGAATGGCACCATGAACTGACGATTACGTACAGCGTCAACGTGATCGGAAATCGAGTCAGGAGTCGCTGACGACACGAGTCAGTCGCTTTCTCGGGATGAGCCGCCAGAAACCGCTCATTGGCTCCAACGGTTCAAAATCCTCAGCCTCCCTTGCGTTATGCGGGGGGAGGGATTCCAGTTTTTCTCTCCTACTAGAAACGCCAGGTGCATGACTTCGGTTGTCGGTGAGTCTCAGTGGGCTCGAGAATGCATCCAGAATACAGAGTATCTTTCTAGAAATACCGAGACATGTTCCACTGCAGGGGGGTCAGATAAGTCTTGACCCCGTCCACAGCTCTCGTGCATTGGTGTGATCATGGATGGAACAGGTCTTGTCACCGTTGGTTCCTGCATCTTTCGAACATGGGCTGAGGAGTCTTACATAGATCCCTCACCCTATGTAAATCCGTCGTATTATTTTTTTTTTCTTCGCCTACCTTCAGTCGTGAGAATCAAAACAACAAAAGAGAAGAAAAGAAATATTATTACCCTGTACTCCGTACTCCGTACATGTGGCTATCATGGTCCCCTTTCATTTCATCCTAAGATCCACATTGTGTATTGTACCTACGTTAGCCCTCAAGGTACTAATTTATTTAATCCCCTTCTAAGCACTCAAAGTAATTACAAACCAACAGCATTGATTTCCTGGAAATAATTTTGAAATCGAACAACTTTTTTTTTTTTTGGGAAGGAGGGAGGGGGGGGGTTCAGATCTCACCTTCAGATGGTATCTACTATTCGCTCTTTTGCCCATCCAAGAGAAAACTGACAATCGCAGGAACCCAGAAGTGGATAGAAAACCCACACGGACCAGTAAGTGAGTCTAGCGCCTACAAGCTAAGAGATGTTGAGCCCCAAATCCATAGCGCAATGGCCTGCAGACCGGCACCACCTGACTATTCCGGAGTCCTACTAAGTACCACTTAGTACGATCCTTCCTGGTGGTGGTAGAGCAGCCAGCCGGTAAGACATCATCTAGTGTCACGTAACTCATGCTGACATGATAAAAACGATAAGAGGCAATGGTTCTCTATCAGATCGGCCATCGCCTATCCTGTCTGTCTCAACATAAATAACTAAGTTGTACCTGTCCTGTCAGGAAGGCCGGTGAAACGGACCCCTGCGAGGATTCCCATTAGTCTGTTGGCTACCTTACCTGTCCCTGACTCAATGAGGGAAGTCAAATCCACCTTGGTTTATCGGCATACTTTCGGAGATAGGGACGGGCTGCTAGCCCTGCCCAGGTCCACTCGACAGGTGGGCATCCGTTTGGAGGTTCGTATTGATTCCAGAGGCGACCATGCAAGATATTCTTGGTTCATGGTCCAGGCTTACAGCATTGCGCCTCTTGTCAGATAGAAAACCATAACTATCACTTACTTTAGACCAGTAAGAGTTGAGGTCCCAATCAATTGGGCTGTCGTTTTCGCCGCATTTGGTGGTGATTCGATGCCGATGTGTTGCCATTCCTGGAATCCACTTCATAGTGGCACAGTTGCGGAGTCTCCGTCCTGCTAGGCGGTCGAATCATGGTTCTACATATTGACCATCACGACGAGATGAAGACGAAGGCCAGAGTAAGCCCAAATCAATAGTGTATTTCTTCAGGTACTTCCAAGTTCTGCTCATTATCATTGGCAAAAAGTAAAGGCAAGCAGTAACATTTTCATCTTTCTTCCCACCTCCCCCTCCTTCTTTTCTCTTTTCTATTTCTCTTCCCTCTTTCAGTATGTCGTTATCATGTAGATATCTCTTGAAGATTGATCTCCTTGAAAAAAAAAAACAAAAAACATGGCAGTTTTCATGGTATGATATGGTGGGGATGCTTTATCAGGGGGAAAGGGAAAAATTCTGGGAGAAGTCTACAGGTTCATTCATTACACGATGATTATTTTATTAGGGGGCAGTTGGTGGTATGAGTTTTTGTCGAGTGATGGGTCTTGGTTCCCTTCATCAATTCCTAATCTCGTCATCATATTACTTATCCTTACTCATACCGTAGTAAATAATAATAGCGGGCTATTATTATTCCCAGGACACGATTCCTGTCCTCTTTACTAAGGATATACTACACTCCGTACGTAGTGCTCCAAGTAAGTACATATGTAGTACGTACATAAGAGAGCTCGAATCCTCAAGGATCAATTTAATAAGTATCATGACATATGCATGTATTCATAGTTATGAATATAGAATTGTTCATAAGTTGTCTTTGGCGGGTTTAAGTTTCTATTCCTTTTTTGTATAACAAGAGTATCTCCGTGGAGAACAGAGAGTTCTCATTGTGTGGGCGGTTTCCCCTCTTTCTCTTTCTCTTTCCCTTTCTTCCTCTGCCGTCTGGCTCTCGCTCTTGAACCCCATAGAAGTAAGGCCTTATTACAGCCTCTTATACCTCTGGAAATTCCTTGTCTTCACCTGCTTGGCCCTTGAGAGGTTCAACATTGCCTCTTGCCCTTCTCATACTTTTTACCTCTTTCTCACAATCTCTCTTATTTTTAAACTTTGATATTTTACATTTCATATATCTGTATTGTCTTCCTGTTACGACTCATTTTCTCCCTGAGTAAATTGACCGTCAAGTGTCTAGTCCACTACTGGTCACTTTTCGACTTGAAGGTCAGATACTAGTAGTACGGAGAGGTGTTGAGAGCGAGCGAGAGAGTGATCTGCAGCTTTCAGTATTTTACTATACACGTTGTTAGTGTAAAACGAACAAATTCAATCAATCAAAAATTGGATTGCCACAGGGAACTTTGACAACAAGATCGAAGACCAAAAATAAACCCCAAATACTGATAGAAATTTTAATTTTTCTACCACTGATGAAGGTGTGTGTGTCC